ATAATAAGTTTCACTCCCCTGTAGCTGGTAACCCTTCTCAGCCTGAAAGGTGATCTGGAGAGCCTTTCCACTGACTCGTCTTGATGGGTTTCACCTGCCGGCTGATGAGGCTGGTGGCTCTCCTGTTGTAGGCCTGGGAGGAGCTGGGGTGGGGTAGGGGGCTTGTTTCTCTGACTGGGTTTCCCTGCCTGACATTGTGGCCCTTCCTGTTTGTGGAGATGAACCTTTCATGGGCTGATCTTGTGATAGCCTTGGCAGCAGCCAGGTCAGGGGGCTCGTTTCTCTCAATTAGGTTATTTGGGTTACAGCAGCTACCATCATTCCTCTGTGCTCCCTTGTGCTGGTTAAGATCAGCCTTTTATCACACACCCTAATATTGCCTACCAGAGGTGACCGTACCTCCTGTGCTCCTTGCACCATCACTTCATAGAAATCTGTTTTATCCCCTAGAAGGGCTATGTTCCTGGAGCAGACATCTCAGTGCTGTTGCAAAGGGCTCCTTAAGGCCCTCAAGGGGGCTTGTAGGCCTTGGCAGACAGCACTTTAGATAGCTTAGACGCGAAACTTCAAAAGCAGTGATGGTTATTCTGGTAATTATGTCTGTCCAGATGATTGGCGTGGTCGTTGTTTTCTAAGGGAACATTTGAAATCCCCCCAGTCACTATCACTGTCTCTCTGGAGATAGTAGCTCTAAGTTCATAACAACTCTGTGAAGCCTCAGCTCGCGCAGCGAGGAGTGTCCCTTCCATTGTATTTGGTCTGGACTTCATAGCTGCTGTTGAATTCTGTCCCAGTTTTGCATAATGGGGTATAGTGCCTGTCTGGTCCAGTTTGTTCGTAGATGAATTCCTATAGTCAGATTTTCCTGGATAAACGAGTGCTAGGACAATTGAAACAGCTGCTTTTAGTATGAGTTTTAAGTGAGTCTGATGAGTAACATTTTGGTTGATGAGGTGTGTTTTCAGGGTTGTCTCATTCTTGCATAAGAGGGTAGCATTCCCCTCCCCACACAGCCATGGTCCAAGAGTAAACCATTCTCCAACTGACATGATTTGGGTGCATGAAACCTCCTGTGGTTGTTGGGTCGACCCTTCCAAAAGAGTTTGTATTCCAGTTGTATTTCCCTGTCTCAATTAAAAGGATCTTGTACTAAAAATCATGAGCCATTTGGGGTGTGGACTTCTCATGCTTCCCCGTGTATCAGACAGTCCTACACCCACCCATGCACCTACCCTCCTATCCTGGTTGCTTTAGTTGTTCACCAGTCCAAGTGCCGTTTCCCACCTGTTTGTCTGGAAACTCCCCTTTTACAGCCTTTCTAAACAGTTGTCAATGTGTGTCTGAAAGCCCATCTTAATTTTTATCTTCTGATAAGCCTCAGACCTGTAACCCTCGCAGCCATAGGTGTCTCTTGATATCCCATATCATACAGGAGTTGGTTAAAGGCTAATGGTACTTGTGTACAGGTGGTCTCCCAAGTCACCTTGGTTAGAGTCATAGGGATGGATTGCATAAGTTCTATTGCAGCTTCTACTGTTTCCATCCCTAGTGTGGCTGTTAATGTGCCATTAGACTTTAAAACCTGTCTGGAGGCTATTCCTCCTCTGTTAAGGAGTCCTATAGCTGCTTGAAGGTGGTTAGCATGGGCAGATGTAGGCAATTTCTTTTGCATTGCAGACCCCCAGAGCCATATTGCCTGGTTTTCATAAAGAGTTGATTACATTGTGCATTTTGCATTTCAAAAGGGTGATTTGATATGACCATAAATAGTTCTGGCCAGGTTCAATGCCTGGTGCTTTTAAAGCTGCCTGAGCAGCTCTAGTACAATTAGCGTAGAATGATCCAATGAACTGTAAGTCTGGTCTGAATTCAGTACAAAAATAAATTCTATTTGCTAGTAGCACTACTGAAGCCTTTATCTTGGTCTGCTACTACAGCGAGGAGACCCTAATAATGAGGCACTGGTTAAACGTTCTCCAGTTTTCCTACATTTTCTGAGCATGCCAACTCTCATGGGGCCTAAATGATGCACCATTTTTCTCAGGACTCACTTCATTTCTTCCTGTCTCCATGTGGTAGGTAGTGGTCAATCAGAGCTTAAGGTTCTTGAAATATCTGGTTTGAGTCCTGTCTCTACAAACGATAATAGGAAATAGGTATAGCCTCAGCTTTCAGGATGCTCTGTCTTTAAGTCTTACTACATATTATTATAAATTTATAGAATTGCTTCTCTCAATAAAACTTTAATACAAATTCATAGAAAGCTGTGTTTCACAGCAGTTGCTTCTTTCTATTAAACGATATCCAAGCCAGAGAGCTAGATCTAGCTGGCTGCTTACAAGTTGTTACCTGAATTTTTCATCTTCCTTTGACATTTGAACACTTTGGTACAATTTTCTGTAATAAAGGATTTTGTATACATGTGTAATCAATTCAGTATTGAAACCCTGCCCTCTTCGAAGGCTCCTGGGCATTATGCTGGCTATACAGGTTAGCACTTTAGGCATGATGATCTTCAACTCATACATACGGAGAGTTGCATGAAAAGGGCTGTTGGAAGTACATGAAGTTTATTACCAAATCCTATGCTTTTCCTTTCCCAGAGCAAGTAGCAGTTTTGAGAAGGAAAATGGATAGCCTGTTCTAAGTTACTGTAGGTGTACGTAGGCTATTCTAATTAACTCCTCTTCATACTGCTAATTATGGGAGTGAAGGAAATGTTATTTTGTTTCCAGGCTGAGACTGACATTTTAGACAGCCAAAGCCACTAACTAGGCAAAACACTCTAAGTACATCTCAAAAGAACAAAAACTTTTCAATCCTCCATAGCAAAGTTCTTGTTCCCTAGTAAAGCAAGACTGTGGAAGTCTGGCTTAATGCATTTAAAGAAGCTGAAAAATCCAGATAAAGTTTCTTCCCCTAAAGGAGAAAAATAAAAATAAAAAAAAAAGTGGAAGAAAAACATTGTATGTAATAGTATTCTGAATCTTACGTCAGCTCTGACTGCAACTGCTGTTCACCCTTTGTGACGCTGTGTCCTATTTTCCTCAGTCTTGAATAAAAGCAAAGCCAAATCTGTCAAATTCTGTATTGGAAACCTTTGGTAGCAAAAGTTTAAGAAAATTTTGAAAAGGATAAATAGAAAAAAGGTCTTGTCACCTATCTAGATCTGGTTTTACGTAGAAAAGACTACTTTTCTTATTAAATGTAAATCAAAGTGGTGCTGCAAGCACTAAGGAATGCATTTTCTTACATATGTTACAAATGTTTTTATCTTCCTAACCCTCTCATCATCATAAAAGAACAAATGCTAACTATGTTTCTAACTCAGACACTTTTTATCATGTGCAAATGCCTGTTAGGGTGCAAAGAGATTAAGTACTGTGGTTTCTGAAAAAACAGGATTCTTGCAAAACAAAAAAGATTTTTATTGAACAATTTTAAAGAACTAAATCTCATACTTTATTACTGTTTATTCTGCAGTTAAGATATATGGATTGCTTCGTGACAGATTTTTTTATGTATCTTGTTTTACTTGTTGGAAAAGGTGCTCTGGGCTTTTTTTTTTGCTATTTATTGTTTACTGTTGCAGTAGTTAAAATATAAAAATAAATGCAATAGAATTAAATTCACTTTTTATTCTTTTTATAATCCATTCAAGGAGGAAAAACTTTTGCTTTATGATAGCTGTGGGAGCTCATTCGAATTATTTTAAATCTAAGCTTGCTTTCCAGGTTAGGTGTTGAATTTAATAGCTGTACTTAATGTTGGCCCCCTCCAGTATATAACTGCACTAATACTGATTGAAATGGCAGTAAATATATTAAAAAAAAACATTAACTGGAGAGGATGCACATTATTACATTTTCTAAAAATGTTAATTTTTTTATGAGTGCTGTAACAAGTAGAAAGAAATTCAGAAGGAAAAGATGTGCAATCCAAAAATCCCTTCTGTCAAATCCTGTGCTAACTTGACAGCAGAAAAAGATATGATAGTCAGCATTTTCAGTGATAGATCATAAAATAGTAAGAGATCCCTTGTCAAAGATTTAGGGCTTCGTTCTGCCATGTTTTGTGCAGTTTGGTCTTTATCTTGTAAAATTATTTAACTCTTAGAGGAACAAGCTTCCTGAAACCTAGGTAAAGAGGCAGTATGTGTCTGTAGATTTTGCTGAATCAAGGCCAGCAAACAAGCACTTCGTAGGACTCTGCCTCTTCTGCATGTTTAAATTATCTATGTGAGAGAGACTGAATCACATGAAAGAACAGTCTGATGAAGATGTTGCATAGGAAGAAACTGATTTCTCCTTTACCGGAAGTTGTGAACAGTACTTCCAGTATGATGCTCATCACTGCTCTGGTTGTGACATCTAATTGCACTAGGGATGCTGTCCCTTTTCAGGAAAATACAAATCAATGGCAGTTTGCCACCCAAGAGCTAAAAGAAAGGACTGACACCATAGTTCCTGTTACTAATTAGAATAAATGCATTTATTTGAGTAATCTCAAACTGGGCTAAACAATAAAATAGGTGTTAGCAAACTAAAATAACAGTTATGATGAGAATTCTTCCATAAAGGGATCTGACTGGTGGAGAGAATTAGAAGTAGTTCTGATGAAGTGCCAGATGCTCCCCCTGAGTTGTCCCAAAAGATGGGGAAAAAAGCAGCCCTTAAAATAACTAAAATAAATTAAATTAATAGAATTCTTGGGCTTAGCCTGAGAATTAGAAGCTCATAAAAAGATCGGTGCAATTATCTTGCTCTCGGTAACTGGATACTGGGAAACTGGGTGCTGCTGGTGCCTGTGTCTACAAAGGATATTGAACGCTATCGGTTTGGATGATTTGTGATCAAGCTATTCATTATATATTAAGCCAAACAAACACAGTTTTGCAGTTTCTTGTCATTGGTGTAATGTTTATTCTGTCAGTATCTCATAAGGGGCTACGGAAGACAATATTTGGCTATTTTTAGTAACATAAATGTTTTCCCTTTTAGTTATTCAGATATTCTGATTGAAAGGGAGGTGTTAATGCAGAAGTACATTCATCTCGTCCAGATTGTAGAGACCGAAAAGATTGCAGCCAATCAGCTTCGACATCAGCTTGAAGATCAAGACACAGAAATTGAAAGACTTAAATCTGAGGTATGTGCCAGAGTCATCAAGCAATCATTGAATTGTAACATTTTTCTGTGTGCATTGCAATAATATTCAATATTTCTGTAATATTTGTGAAAATAACAGAACCCAGTAAGGTTAATATGTAATAGTCTCCATATGAACCCTTGGCAAAATATTTTTCTTAGGTATATTGGGGACTATTAAACTGATTGGATTACTTCTTTGTCAGAGACACGTTGCTTTGCAGTATGGGTCCCATTGATTGTATTATTTCCTACCTATCTTCACATGAGGAGTTTGATCCTTGACACATTGTCTTTGGTTGTGACAGTACTGTGGACTATTCCAAACTGCTCTATTTCACCGAATGTTAAAAAATCTTATTGCAGTCCTGAGCTGATAAGGTCTGAAAGGCTCACTTGGTTCTGAGAGGAGAACTAGCTCTCTTCTGGTCCTTCCTCCATCTGGATCAAGAGCCTTGCTGGTTTTCGGAGAACTGTGTTCACATCCCTGTGACCAAATATGTGCTTGTCATTCTGTGCAGCTTTAACAGGCTTGAAGAAGGGGAAAATATTTTTCTGTTAGTTCTGTAACTAAGAGTTTCATTAACTTGAGAAAGCATTTAATGAATGGTTGTTTTTGTCAGATTATAGCTCTCAATAAAACAAAAGAAAGAATGCGACCTTATCAAGGCAACCAGGAAGATGAGGATCCAGATATTAAAAAAATTAAAAAGGTAAACATGCAGTCTTCTGTGCTTAAGAGGAGAAGGGTAGGGTGCGGGGTGTACTTCTGTATTTTAGTCTGTCTAGTTTTGTCTTCATTTATTTTTATTAAGTACAGTCAAATAGCAAGATTCCTTTTGCCCTGCCACTACTTAAACCTCTTAAATTACATCAGCTTCCTATGTTTCAGTGCTGCATTTATCCCATGGTGTATTTGTTACTTAAGTAATTTTTACTTGCAAGGTATATATTCAGTTTCTTTAAAAAGTTGCACATTTCATTCAACTGCTTGTAAAGATTGAAATTAAGTCATGGGCTATGTCCTGTGGGAATCAAGTGTATAGTGACTTTATACTCCTTTCTTATAAAAATGCTTATAAAGATATAAGAGAATGACTTATATTCTGTCACTGGAGCTGGAATACAAATATCGAAAATGCAGAGAGCAGTCTTGGTTTAGGTTGTCAGCCGGTCTGCATGATGGTCATTGTTCCAGGATACTATGGCCAATGTTTTTAATAACAGGGACAGAAGTGTCCCCATCTGTATGGCATTTACATGTGCAGCTTTTCGTAATATTGCTTAAGGCTGGATATAACCAGCCTCCAGAACTGTGCCCATTGCTGACTCCCACAAATCCTAATGCACGAGCATGAATGGAATTCATGCTTGAAGATGTGGTCCTGTATGTGTCACCCTTATTCTCACAGTGTTCAGTCTCTTAAATTGCATAATATCCTTTACGGTATGTGGACTTAGTTTCTGACTTTTTCTGGGTCACACAGTCTGAGTCAGGATCGGCACTGAGCTGGTACCCTTGTGTGAATTTTCCTTTTTGTGTAGATTAAACATTGTAATAGAAACTGGAAATGTCTCTTTTAGTAGAAGGAGAGCTCTGATTCTGTATATAATTCACTGCATTCTACATCTTGATTGTTTTGACAATTGGGCCCTTTTTTTGAAGTTGTTTATTCAGAGTAAACTGCTACCAGTAAGATTTTTGCGTTTCTCTTTCAAGATGAATGATCTTCACATCAAGATCAGGGCAAAGACATACTGAAATTTTCTGTGACCAGATATAGACCTTTTCTGTAATCTTTAATCCACTTGTGACTTCAACAGATATTACGCTTAAGTAGATTTTTCCATGACATAGAGATACTTTTTAAAAATGCCAAAAGTCTGCCTTTTCTGGATAGTAGTATTGCTGGCCCAGGTGCCTGATACTAAGCAGTATATTGATACCTAGCTTTAAATACACATGCTAAGTGGTAGCTATTCAAAACAGAAAGCAAACTGAGTTTAACAACTATTTTAGAATTACATCAATAATGATATCGAGTCTGTCTTGAAATGTGTTACCTGGAAGCACTGTGCAATACTTTTGGGGGTATAAGAGAAATGTGTAAGGGGAGGTAAAAGGAGTTAAAAAACCTGCACAATGGATAGCACAGTTGTGTTGATAGGAAGAGTGTATACAAAGGTACAACATTTGAGCTTGTAGTAAAAGGTGCCTTGATATGTATGTGATACCTTTTCAGTCTGTTTCCTGGCAACAAATATGACCAAGGGATTGTGGAAATTTCATTAACAAACAGAAATCTAAAAAAATATAATTCGGGAACAATTAGATCAATAAGGGCAACAGACTTCTTTTTTTTCTTTTAAACAGAGGCATTTCATTTAAAGGGTTATTTCTACAATGAAGAGGTTATGATAAGTCATGTAATGTTTTTTCTCATTCTTCTTTTCTGCTTGGTCTATTTTTAGGTCCAGAGCTTTATGCGGGGCTGGTTATGTAGAAGAAAATGGAAAACTATTGTCCAAGATTATATTTGTTCTCCCCATGCAGAAAGTATGAGAAAAAGGAATCAGATAGTTTTTAACATGGTGGAGGCTGAATCTGAATACGTGCATCAACTTTATGTTCTTGTGAACTGTTTTCTGCGGCCCTTAAGAATGGCTGCAAGTTCAAAGAAGCCACCTATCAGTCACGATGATGTTAGTAGCATTTTCCTCAACAGGTATGGGGGTTTTTGTTTGCTTTTTAGGGGTTTCTCTGACCGCTTCTCCCCATTCTGCTTCAGTTTACAGAGGTCTGGCACTTGTTTTTTCCTCTGATGTAAGTAATGTCACTGAGGTAAACCATGTTTCCAGGGGTAAAAGTCAAGGTGCTGTTGGTGATGGTGTTTGAAACCAGCTAGACCGCTTTGCCTCCTTACATTCTATTTCTTCCTCTGCTAAAGGAAGAAAAGGACAAATCGTGCCTCTTGGGGCAGTTCTCATAATTTTCTGTCACCTTTCCTGTTTCTTTTTCTCTTAAGAGAGCAAAATTGGACTTAGTGGCCTCATATGATCCAGATAAGATCCTGAGGATGAGTACGTCAAATCTTCTAACTTCTGTTGTCCTGCCTAAGGAGCCTCCTTCCCTTTCACTTGTCTTCATATCCTACAAAAATGAATTGTTCTTTTCATTAAGCATCCAAGTACTGTTGTAATGAGTATGTACAAATACGCCAGCAGACATCTGACATTTGATACAGGATTGGGATTGCATCCAAGTCTGCCCCAGACTTCTAAGAAATAGAACATGTTCCTTTAGTTATGAGACAGGTTTCTCTGTCATAGCTCATTCATGATCACTGCACTCTTTACTTACAACTGGGATGTCCCCTACTTCTGTTGACCTCACAAGCTAAAAAACAATATTAAAGTTCATGTTACAGAAAAGTTGTAAGCTTTAAATCTTAAGCAGCCTCAAGCAAGAAAGTAGATGACTACAACTGGCTTGAGGTTTCTGCATCTTACTGGTCCTCTCAAACTACTGAATGCGTTGTCAAGGATATTCTTGGAAAGCCTATTCATTAAACTGTGTGGAACATGTTATTTAATAGATTCTTTTATTTAAAAGAACTGAACAGTTAGAATATGCTTTCTACACCAAATACTATATATTTTTTAGACATACTACACTAAAAATTTTAAACAATGCAATAAAAGGAAGCACTTCCATAATAATAACTATGTTCTGTTTTATCTAGCAAAGTGCAAAACATACTACTAAGCAGGAAGAGATGTTTCTCTGTGAATTATTAATCAGAAAATAAAACCTGAATTGTCTTTTTGTTTCTTTAAATACTTGTTTTTCAGTGAAACAATCATGTTTCTTCATGAGATATTTCACCAAGGCTTAAAAGCAAGAATAGCTAATTGGCCTACCTTAATCCTAGGTAAGTTACTATATTTTCTCTAGGGGTACAATTTTCATATTTATTTTTGAAATTACAGTAAGGTCTTTTTTCTTTTTAAGACAGGACTTTTTTAAGTCCTTTTTTAACAGAACGCATTCCCAGAACTAACACCACAAGATCTGATGTAGTGGGAGTCCCACATGGGCAGTAATGACTGTCTTCCAGTCTGTATATGAGAATGCCTCTGCCCTAAGCATTGATTAGACATGGGCCCCTGAATTTTCAGTGATATTGTCTAATTATTAGCTAATCAGAACAACCATGTTTTGGCAGGTGAAAGAGCTGAGTTTAATGTTTCTAACATCTCAGTATATTGGAAACAGAACTGGTTATAGTAATTCACTTCCATAAAACATAGTAGTTTCTTTAAAAATATATTTCAAGAGATGGGTAGCTGGAAAAAAAAAAGCATTTTTTGACTTTTTCTAGCTGACTTATTTGACATTCTGCTGCCAATGCTGAACATATATCAAGAATTTGTTCGGAATCATCAATATAGTCTACAAGTACTGGCAAACTGTAAGCAAAACAGAGATTTTGACAAACTTTTGAAGCAATATGAAGCCAACCCAGCATGTGAGGGGCGAATGCTGGAGACTTTCCTTACTTACCCCATGTTTCAGGTAGTCTCTGTATATTTTTTGTGACTATTGTTTTTAATGATTGGTTGATTCATTTTGTGTTACTGACATTGCGATTGATTGAAGATTCTTCTTGCTTAACTAAAAATACTCTTATGCAAATTAATTTAGTTTTAATTTATTTCATTATTATACTGAAACTCTGCCTGTAGAAATCTTTGCTCCAATTATACTGATTCATCTCTATTCAGAATCTTATGTATGTTGAACGGGAATGTGGGATGAGAACTAGTGCCAAAAGAAAAAAAGCTGAGAAACAATTACTCCACTTCTGCCTGCTGCAGGATTATGAAGCAGTCCAGACAGGGATAATATACCTGGTATAGCAAGTTAGAGCAGCCACAGGCATTTTACTAGGAATACATTTTGAAACTTTCCTTCCACTTTGTTTTCCAGCGTCTTGATGTTTAGAAAATGAAAAATACATAGCAGAAGTTTTGAAAACTTTATTTATCCTTCCGGTATTTTGTCTTGAACTGCCTGAATTAATTATTTGTGGCTATTTTAAGAGTTCTGTGAAACACTGGTCTGATGATTTTGTGTCTTTTACATTTAACCTAACATTTTACTCATCAAGAGAGTAGTCAACCCCCTCAGTTTGTTCAGTTACTGGCAAACCAAGTAGAGTGAAAAAAAAAAAAAGGGGTGTCAGTGACACTTGCGTTAGTGCTAGTTATTCATATTAGCCTAAAGGGCGGTTAGCACCTGTAACAACACAGTTTTTTAGCTTTGAGCTTGTATATTGTAAAGTGTTGGGATTTTTTCGTTGAGCAGAAACAAGGTCATGGGATCTTAGAAGGGAGAGGGAGGGTCTTATTCATATGTGGTGGAGGATGTCATCGCTGATGACATTTCACTTCAGCATACTAAGTCATGTATCCTCCTAAATAACTTTTATTCTGTAAAGACAAGTTATACTGCAGTATCACTTGGTTCTGGTTAAAAGCCCTGAAACTGCTTTAAGTAATAATAAATGGATCAGGATCCTTGTGCTACCCTGTGGCCTTTAGTAGTCAAATACTGCGTATTCTTCAATGTTCATTAGTGCAATGTGAATTTTGTCTAAATGCAAACAGGTCAGCTGGCATTTTCAAAGTCACAAGAAATTTAGATGCACATATCCTATTAAAATTGGGGGAACGTATGTATGGATCTCCAAGGGAGTTTTGAAAGTTTTCTCTATTGGCACTTGGATAGCAGCATGAAACAATGAAATTTAATGTCGTATTTGTGGCTGCCTCTGATCTGATCTTTTCCTTAAAATGTAATAAATGGATCTTGTGCTTCCTCAGACTGAAAACATACATATGCATACGCAGTCTCTATAACCCAAACATTCAGTATTTTTGGCAGTAGTTATATTTAGAATGTATGTATAATAATTTAGCTGTGGATATTCATTTCAAAAAGACTATGTTTGCAAAACTTTTCTGACCAAGGTAATGGCTAATATTTAATAAAAAGTTGTCTTGGAATTATTCCTTTAAGGATTTACTGTTTTTATACCTAATTTGTTTTAAGATTCCTAGATATATTATAACACTCCATGAACTTCTGGCTCACACACCACATGAACATGTTGAGCGAAAAAGCCTTGAATTTGCTAAATCTAAACTAGAAGAACTTTCAAGGTAAGATTTTTCTGCCTTTTGTTTGATAATCTTGAATCAAAGGTTTTGAAATGAAAAATCTATTTTCTTTATTTTAGTTTGGTTTTGTTCTTTTTTAAAAAATTCTTTTAAAGAAAAGGATCAAAACCAAAACAAAATGAAGATCATGAAAAAAACCAAAAATACCCCAATCTAATATTTTGACTCTTCTATTTTTTTGGGGGCTAACATAAATCTACAAGTGTCTCCTTGTATTTTGGGTAGGGGAGAATAGGAGTTGCTATAGGAACCACCTGCTCCTGGGTTATGAGCAAAGCAATCTTCTTTACATAGAGAAATACATATTTTTTTTCACAGTTTAAAGATAAAGAGCATTTCCAATACACTGTAACAACAGGAATCAATCAGGGTCCTGAAAAATACTGAGTTCTCAATCTGTGTTATAGTTTACGTGCGTTAATGAAATAACTGATTTTCACATATGCTTCAAATAATGCCAGATAAACAGGAACTAAAGATATATCTTGAGAACTGGTGCTCCCTGTAGAAACCTGCAAAATTAAGCTCTTCCCTGAACTCCCAGACCATTCTCAGATGTTCCCCTCTGTCAGCCCAGTAAGAAATTTGGCTGTTATCTCTGGGAAACACAGTTTTCTGCTGTGAACAAAGAAATGCTGCGTGAACTCCAGGATATAAATCTTGAGGATCTATCTGGAGTACTCACCAAAGATGTACTTGGAGAATATTTAGTTGTAAAAGAGGGATCGCTTTATAGCTTTTGTTAGTTGCATGCTCTTGACTGCTTGGTTTTCTTATTCTGTTAAGACAAAGTTGCTACCTTGTGCAAACTACCCATTAATTTGGAGCTTTTTTCTTCTGCTGTATCTTCAACAGAGGCAGCTTTCTGAATCAGGTCATGTTGTGCCTCTTCAAGCTCTAACTTCTTGAAGAGCTGGGCAGGCAATATCTGTTACAGAAATGCCTGTGTTTGACTCCTGCAGTGTTCAGCAAGTTCTGCCCTGTTCTGAGGCCATCTGAAGCGGAAAGAAGTAATGTCTCCTTTCCGCTCAAGCAAAGCAGAGAATTTCTCTGGCCAGGGTCATGTGCACAAGCAGATCAATCAGCTTTGACTTGGCTTCATCTCATAAGTCAGAGTTCATTGCTGATCCAACTAATTCGTCACTGAACATTCAGAATTGGAGGCTGAGACTGATTGATCCTCCTCTGCTCATAAGGCAGGCAGTATAGACCATAAATACAAAACTTTGTGACTTATTTCTATCCCTTTAATGTAGTTCTGAGGGAGGAGGAGCTTTCAGATAGTGCAGTCCGGTCCCAGTTGAAAATATTATACATCACAAGACCAATATAAACTTCTGGGTTGGGTTCAGCCTTGAAAAAATCTGTATTTCTCTGTGTAAGAGGAGGACACCTGTGAAAAAAAGTGGAAGAAAGTAAGTGGTGAGCCATGAAGGCTCTGGTTGTTATAGGAAGCAAGGGGGAAGTGAATGGTACATTCAGGTGTAAACTGAAGCAGAACAGAGTGGGAACCTAAAGTTGAGGGCAGGGACTCTACAGTGTGTAATAACCAATACAAAATGCTAGGAAACGTTTCCATGTTTGTGGCAGCCTAGTCTATTAAGGATCAAGAAGTACTATTCTCTCAGCTGTGAAGGGTTTTTAGCTTGATGCCATCTGTCAGATGTGTTTAGGAATAGTCTAAAAACAAGTCTGGCAAAATTGGTTCCACTGCTGAAAAAATGAAATGATTGCAAGAATTATTTGAAAGGGAAGGAAAAAAGGCAAGAGACTTGCTCTAGAGTGATCATGTACTGCATGTGTACATCTGTTTTCTAGCAGGTGGCAAAGGACATCAGCTACCTTCTGTGTCTACACTGTATAAGTGCAAGTGAAAATGGACACAACAGGTGCAAGATAGATTTCAGGGAATTTAAAGTGCGCTTTGTATTGTGTCTAACAGGGTGATGCATGATGAAGTGAGTGACACAGAAAACATCCGGAAGAATCTAGCCATAGAAAGAACAATAGTAGAAGGCTGTGATATATTACTGGATACCAGCCAAACTTTTATACGCCAAGGTAAGACATTCTTCTTTAAAGCTATCTATATAATCATGAAAAAATTGCATGAAAAGCAGCAGGGTTCATGTTGCCATCATTGGGCAGGTCACTGCACTGGGCACAGCTAACATCCTAAGACTACTCATGGTCCGTGGAGGGTAAGTCACAAAATGCTCTGATGACAACTAATTTTGGGCTGTAGTTGAACGCCACTTCCATGCTGCTTTCTTCAGGAACCATGAAAAACAGCAGCACATGAATGGTAAAACACCCATGGGACAGTAATGTACATACTGCCTGGACTGTGATCTTCAAAGGGATGGAAATTACCTACAGCTCCACAGAGATTGGGGCTGCCTGCCCAGTTAATGTGGCAGTCCCAGGTGATACCAACATTTGGGCAAAAGCACAGGAGGAGCTTGAAGCTTTGTCAGTGGTAAAGTGATTGCTAGTAAAGAAAACAGCTATCAGTTGTTCCTATATTTCTTGGTGCTTTGGAAACATCTCAAATTGATAATGCAAGCATAGATATAATACCTGAACATACTCACTTTGCCTCTTGAGAGATGCATTTTTGGGCTTTAGTAGAAGTTCAGGATAGATATAAAAAGCACTTCTACAAGAAGAAGTTATGAAGAAAAGGCATCCTGTTCTGCCAGGAATGTAGGACTACTTCTAATGTAATAGCAAAACAAGAGAGGAAGAGCCATACTGTATTCTTTTCTGTCTATTCTTGGTGGTTTTGGAAACTCCTTCTATTGAAGCTTAGGTGTAGCAGAGGTGGAATTTGTTGTTAAGTTCCACAAAATAATGATAAAATAACTTTTCCGTTTAAAATAGGTGTCACTTTTTACCAGGAACTGCAAACTGGTTGCAGTTCTTATTTGTTGGGGTTTACTTTAGTGTTAAACCAGCAAACGTGAAAACTTCATAACTGAAGCTTATTTTTCTCCCATTTATATAATAATTTACTGCTGGATCTTTTGCAACAAGTTAGTGGGTTTGTATATAGTAACTACAGATCTGTAGTGTAGCGTTTTTACTAGGTACAAGCTTCTTTATGTCTGAAAAGCGTTAAATGTATTTAGGAAAGGTTAGGAATGTAATTTAGGTGCATACCTTCATGTGACCTTTTCTAAATAGCCTTGGCAGAATATTTGGTGTTTAAATAGAGCCATATACACAGCTGGTAATTTAATAGGCTTTGTATACATTTTGAAATCCATTCTGTGGTGTTTCTGCAGTCATGTGGCCAAACTAACTATGAAACTTTCCATAATAACTTCCAAGATTGTTTGTACAACAGTCACTATTAAATTACTTGATTCTTCATTGAGTATGTGCATTTGTTATAACTGAGGTATTTAAAGAGTTATGAATATGGCTTTGAGAAAAATATAAAGCTGTTGTGTTGCATCCACAGCCAAAAAATTATCAGGCTGTGATTCTCCTAGATTGATTTGTACAGTACACTTTAATTACATTTTAGATTTTTTTTTCAATATGATTACATTTTGTATTTATATATTTATTGGGTTTTTTCCCCTTTAGATTGGCTGGTATTATTTTGTCTGTGTACCAGTATTATTTTTTCTGTGGGAATCAGTCTGAAAAAGTTTACTGTTGGAGTGTTGGACCCAGGTCAAACCCATAGTTTAAGTACATTACATTCAGATTTATTTCTGGGCATACAGTCAAAGGACAGTGGACAAGACTGTATGTTACAGAAGGCTGTATCACAGTGGTATCTTTTGGAATGTCCACTGCATGTGATTTTGTGTAAGTGCAGAAATCTGAATAGATCTAATGAAGTAGCACTGAGCCCATTTTCCTTTCGCATCTGACAGTAGGGTCACTTTGACAGTGATGTCCATCTCCTCTAATTTCAGTTAGGCTCCTATTTGTGTGGATCAGTGTAGACAGGTACAGGAAACCTCTTTTCAGCTTAAAAAAGGAGAGAGGTGCTTTTAACTTTGTTCAGGCTTTTTCTGTGAAGGTTAATTACAACTTTGCCGTATGTTATATACTTTACTTTTCTAAGAAGAGATTGTTTCTGTTGAGCTGTACAAGTTTAGATCATAGGAACTCTCTCTGGCAGTGCTTTGCAATGTAGATTGTGGATTCCCCTTCAGGTTTCTTGGGGTCTCCTTTTCTCTGTCTCTTACTTTGATAAGAGACAGACTTTATTGTCAGGCACACCGTAAGTCACGGCAGACAATGAAGGAACATTTTCTTTAAGAGTCTAAAGGAAACAGGGAGTCGCAATCTGCAACCAAACATTGTCTGACACCCAGACAACCAGGCATCTGGAGGCCCTTTAGATGCCTCTAAACACTCTGTCTGATGTTCCTGCCATCAGCTGCTATGAATTTACCTCTACTGATGAATATATCACAATGACAAAATCATGGAATAGTTAGTTGAGGTTGGAAGGGACTTCTGGAAATTATCCAGTCCAATCTCACCTGCTTAAAGCAGCATCAACTGGAGTAGGTTGCTCCGTACCATGTCCAGCTGGGTTTTGGTTGTTTCCAAGGATGGAGACTCCACAGCCCCTCTGAGTGAGCAACCTGTTCCAGTGTTTGACCATCCTTACAGTAAAATTAAAAGGCCTCCAGAATAGAGAAAGCTAAACTGAATTTGTAAATCAGGTAGTTACATGTAGGCTAAAAAATATTCTTTTTTTAAATACAAATTTTTGTGTTTCTTGGATTGAACAAAGGCTAACAGAGTGACTATTCTGGCAGTATTGAAGTACTGAAAGTGCCTAGGTCTGCAGCTGGATAAAAATTCCTGAGATTACACTGATCGTCCAAACTATACTATTAATGAATGTTCTAAAATTAGCCTCACTTGCTCATTGCAACTGTACCTTGGCCAATCATGACCATTTTTTTCCTTAAGAGGAAATCTGTAGTAGAATGCATGGTGGACAAGTACCCAGTTTCATTAATCACAAAAGCTTGATGGGAATGCATGAGGTCCTTGCTTGATGTCAGCCATGCAGCACCTATAGGAGATGTGTTTTTCTCTGTAAATACTGAGTATCAAAGAGAGATAATGCAGTGTCTCTTCTCTGCATTTAAAAAATATAGTTTCTTTTGATTTACGTTATTAAGTAATAACATTTCATCTCCATACAAGAACACCAGCCCATTTTAGCAGAGCATAATATGGTATTCCTGAAAGCATTCTAATGAAAATAATAATAAAAAAAGGTGAGTTCCAAAGCTATATCTGTATCATATTTATAGATACTATTATTCTAAGGAGCAAAGCAGAAACAAAATGTACAGGTAGAATATTGTTAACCCACATGTGTAGAGAGAATTTCAGGAGAAAAATGACAATTTTGTGATGGGAAGTTGCTCGGGAATTGTTTTGTGCACACTCCTTGGCCTTGCAATGGGAGCTGGGGGGCAATCAGTGTAACAGAAAAGTCACAGTTCCAACACAAGGGAATGATCTCCTTCCTGTCTTTCACAGTTGAGGCAGGTAGACTGTTTTGTCCAGGGGAAATGTAGAACAACTAACAAGTATTTGTGGGTTTTGGTCAGAATTTAAGCGAACCTAAAAATGTTCCAGACCTTTGCAAATTTCTAGGGTAGAACTTTACCCCACTGTTTCGTTGCAGTGACACAAATCACGTTGTACACATTTAGTTTAAATGTGAATTGGCTGTCAAAGAACGCTACACTGTTGTAAATTTACTGGTGTATATTTTGCTATGCCAGACAGTATAAGTTTCAAATATGTTAATAACAAGACTAATTCAATGTATAGAGGGAGCTAAGTGTAGAAGAATGTAGATAAACAATAGCTTTCTCAGTTACCTTAATTTCTCTGTTTGTTAGTTTAAGATTGTGTATGTGAACTTTGAACAAGAGAATTTTTTTGACAGTGTACAGTAAGAATTACTAATCTAATATTTCATGGATAATTCTTTCAGGCTTGCATTGTGTCAAGATGCTGCCGCTAGTTTGAGCTTTGATATAGCTATGCTAGTCCAATATCTTGTTGCCTCTGAAAGAAGCAGGCCAATATCCATTCCCTCACACTTGTTCTGCTGCTGTTACTTCTTTGCATCACCACAGGTGCTTTTTTTAACCTTGCAGTGAGGCATATCAGGGAGCTAAGTCAGCTGCTTCGTTGTAGCATTAGTTTTCTGCTGGTTTAGCTCTATTAACTAGCTGATGTTGGAATAAGATGAGAGCAAGTGTAAGGGTGATAGTAAGGATAGATGTGTGGGAATGAGATCAGGAGGTCTCCTGGCTGTCCTGTCTGGTAACAGCAAGTTGTATCATAAAATCTTTCCCTTCAATATACAGAGCAATTACACTTCACCACCAAATTTGACTCCATATCCAAAATCATAAGTGATACACATGGTGATATCAATCTGGAAAAGTTGGTCAGAGGCTGGTTTTGAGGTATGAAACAGCAGAGGAGCAAAGCTGTCCCCAGTCTGGAGTTCTGCAGAACACAAATTCAGACTTATGTACCCGGGTTCAATTTAGTTCAGAAGTGTTTTACTGGTAACACATTTTAGATGAGCTGTGGAGCACTGAAAATTATGCAGTATAAGATAAGAAGAAGAAATGTGCTTCATTTCCATCTCTGTTGTACACAGGCACACATACACAAACTCTTTTCCTTCAAAACCTGTTCTTTTCATCGTCTGTCTCTTTGGCTTGTAAGTAATACATCTTTTGCAAGTCTAGCAGCTGTCAAAAGTGCAGTTTGCTGCTCACCTTCATTTTCTGATCAATGTACTATTAGTGTGTTTCAATTGCATAAGAATTTGCCCAAGATCTAATCCTGCCATGTACATGAGTATTAGTCTAGACTGTACTTATTTGAGTCTATCGTAAAAACCAAAGTGAACTTGTGCAAAAAAAGGTGATCTACTTGTGCTTAAAACAGATGCTGATGTATATTGATACCTACTAGGGGAAAAGTTGCATTAATTAGTATCATAATATTCAATGCATTAGCACTTTAAACACTGCCTACTTAATATTACTATAGCACAGTAAATTTTTCATCTTTATTATCAGGTTCCCTTATTCAAGTCCCTTCAGTTGAAAGGGGAAAACTTAGTAAAGTTCGTCTGGGATCATTATCTTTGAAGAAAGAAGGAGAAAGGCAGTGCTTCTTATTTACAAAACATTTTTTAATTTGTACGAGAAGTTCAGGAGGAAAACTGCATCTGCTCAAGGTACAGACTTTACATTATGACTCAATTTACAAAATGAAAACACAACTTCAGTGAAATTGTAGTATTTTATTATTCTATGGCTTTAACCTGAGATTTTAATGTGTAGTTATAAAGAGAAGTAAGGTGATGCACAGTGATTGACTGCTCTGTCTTCTCATTGCAAATAATAGAATTCAGCCAAAGTTCTTCCTGCCTACATCTTTTTTTCTAGAACCCTGTAATTCTGATAAGCTGGGGGTTAGAAATAAGACATCAACATGTCTATTTGTATAAGCTAGTACTGAATGTAAGTCAGTTTTCAGTGTATAAATCAGCCAGTACAACCCTGTGGAAGTACCAAATAATTTCCAGAGCTCTAATAAAATTAATTTTAAAAGTCAATTCCGCTTTCCTGAACAGCACATTCTCTTGAACTGAAAGCTCTTCTAAGAACACTCTACTTATATTTGTTGAGAATCAGGCTTTCATAGTGTAGACAGGTGAAGAAAGAGAGATTGGTAGTTTACAGAGTGGGTTATATTGAATAGAATTTTAATTTAACGAAGACATTTCTGAAGCGTTATTAAGACTTTCATATGCTTTCTCACTTTGCATCCCTTAAATAGTTCAAGTATTTTGCAAAGTAAATAGAGTATAACTGAACCTTTAAAAAAATCTTGTATGTATTTGTTTTAAATTCAGGAGAAGATGAAATTCTAGTTACCTTTTTTGAAACTTGTGAACAAGTCTGTATGTGAGATTATAGTGTGGTAAAAATGAAAGAAATTTTGTACATTTGAGTATATTATTGATTTGTTGAATTAAGAAAAATGTTATATTTAATTATTTGGTTTAAGTTCTTGAGGAAAAATGTGCATCATGAAATTGATGTATCTTCCTAAGACCTCTGAGTAATGTAAAATCTTAGAGTAAGGTGTATCAAAGATTAAAAATAACTATAACAACAAATGAGAACAAATGTCAAAATTTGTGAAAAATGTGCTTTGTTTTCATAGACAGGAGGTGTTCTGTCTTTAATAGAGTGCACACTGATCGAGGAGACAGATGCAAGTGATGATGATTGTAAGTTACATTCAGCTGTTTGTAGTAATTACAGTTTCTGGTTTCTTAAAATTGGTACCCTTTGTTTATTTTTCATAAGAGCAAATTGATATGTTCTCCCCTTTCATGAAATCAGAGGAATACAGTGTTAAACTGATTCAGTAGAATAGATGTTTTAATAATGGGCATGCTGGCTTGGATAAGGGCTTGTTTTGTTATGTTTGTTCTTGCTGTTGACATCCCACATAGGATTTTCAAGTAGACTGGCTGAAGGAATGTGACAAAGTATTTGCTGACTTTGTATACAAGTTCACCCCAAGGATCTTGGAAAGAAAAAAATATGCCTCAAAAGAAGAAGCAGATAATTAGGTGTCTTAAATACATGGGGATTGAGCGAGTTGGCAGAATTAGTGGAAAGTTTTTGTCTTGGACTCCCTACAAATCTTGACTGCAAGCTTGTTCAAATGAAATAACAAAACACATTCCCAAGCTGATTTTATTGTTGCTCATTTTGGCTTCCATCCTGCAGTTTTAGGCAAGTTTTGCACTTGAATTGTGAAAGTAGTTTCATTAACTTCAGCGATACTTTTAGTATGCTGAGAGTATATCTGTGTAGAAGTGTTAGAAGGACTTTAGCCTTATTTGGCGTCTTTAAAAGTAATTTATAGTGTCTCCCGCTGTTGCGTGTTTGTAACTTTTTTTGTGTTGGTGTATGTGAAAAACAAAATCAGTGTTGGATCCCCAATTGGATTTGCTCTTTTCAGAGAGATGTTTTAAATTAACTTCCATTTTAAATTAAACCGTTCTTTTCTTTGTTTTATTGTCTGAAATCTCACATTTTGACTTTTTTCCCCCTTCTGGCTGTAAAGCAAAAGGTTCTGGACAAGTGTTTGGACATCTTGATTTCAAGCTTGTAGTTGAACCTACGGATGCTCCTCCTTTTACTGTTGTCCTTTTAGCCCCATCACGACAGGAGAAAGCTGCATGGACAAGTGATATAAGTCAGGTAGCTTAATGCATTCTTTTTCTTGTTTGTATTGAGATCTTAATTTATTCTGTATTTCTGAAAAATAATCCAAGAGAGGGATATTGATTTCTTGAGGGCTGATTTGCTGCGATGTATATGAAAAACCCTTAGTGTTACCTGTTTTCCTCAAAATTTTGTCTTTGCATTTGAGTCATCAGTGAAATGTGTTTCTCAATGAGAGAGATGAGATATAAAATACAAAATTGTCAGTTGACAAGCATAATACTAATGGTAGTCATTTTTATGTCTAAGGAGAGCCCATCCAGGTATGTATTTTAATTTAAGAAGAAGGATAGTACTACATAACTTTAATACAGATCAAAAAACACCTGAGAATCCTGAGAGTGAAAATTATACCATACCACATCAATATCATATCCCATGCAGTGAGAAAAATTAAATAAAATCTGTTTTCCACCAAAAAGAATGCTAAAAAAACTTTATAAATTATTACTAAGCATTCTGACAGACTGCAGGAACTGTCTTTATTGTGATTGAAGAAAAATGGTGTTTTAAAATACTTTAATGTCGGGTAATATTTTTTTTTTTAGTGCTTTTGGCAAAAAACATAGTAGACAGACTTTTATCAGAATCTATTTGGGGAAGGAAGCTATGAAAAATCTGAACTTTCAACTAACTAGATCTGAATTTAGACTATTGCTATTTTGTTTATGCAGGCAACATGTAGTGCATGCAACAACTATATAGATTTCTCATAGTTCTGAATTTGAGTCCTATCCTCTATTAATTTCAAGAGAAATAGTTGATTAGACAAGTATCAGTGTGGAATTTGATGGACTTCTAAAGATGCTACCAATGCTGGCAACACCTCCAGATGGATTATCATCATAATGAGTAGAAATTGCTTAAAAATAAGTATTCTGAGTTAACTTTCTTCTGGACTAACTTTTTTAAAGGAACACAAATATGGAGATAGAAATCTGAAAATATGGTACGAGCTGGGAACCTTGGTCTCACTGCAACTGAGTACATACAGATCTTACAGACAGACCTCGTTGGAGAATTTTTTACAAAATGGATTTTCAGTGAATTATGTTGTTCCATTGACACATAAAAGTATTGGAATTATTTGCTGGGGAGGAAAGACCATTTAAGAACTGACCTGGAACATGGGACATCCAGGAATAAGTCCATTCTTAGCCTACATAATGATGAATTTAAATGAGAAAGTCATCTGCAGTCCATGTAGACTAAAGATCAGAGTTTAGGTCTGCCTCCAAAGGTCAGGTCTTCTCCTCCAAACTACTCCAGCTCCAACCCATGCTACTGTGGTGTTATGGAAACAGCTGAAAAGCTCCACAGCTGACGTGAGAGCTGCATGCCTACAAAGCTTGGAAGTGTCTTAGCAAGGCAGAGGTAAACACGACTAGCTGCCTACAGCTGAGAGAGCAAAGGGTTGGCCAGTCTGTCAGGGGAAAACAGTAAGAAGGGTTTCTCCCTTGATCACTCTTTGAGGAAGGGGAGATGTCCCAGCTTTTGAAGACGGGGGTATTCTGAAGAGATATGGGGCCAACAATTAACAGCAGGTTATAAGTGAAAATCTGAGAAAACTGAGATCTATTAGCATTGTGAGGCTGAAAAAGCTTCTCCAGCCTTACAAAGGAAGGGAAGCCAGAGGTGCTGAGCTTAAGATGCTTTAAGCAGGAGCTTAAAAGAAAAAAGGAGTAAGAAGGGGTGCAAAATGCTGTGCAGACTGCACAGACATTTGGGGCGCAAATTGGCATCACTATTTACAAGTAGCAATCAAGTCAGTTGACTTAGTGCTTATGCTCAATCTGGAGAGCAAGAAAGAAGAAAGTAACGCCAGAGGCACGCTACCTGTATTCTGCTGGACAGAGAAAATTTGGGGTGAAAATTTGGATAATGCATGAGAACTTCTAAACAATTTTGAGAACACTTGTCTCTTGAAAACCAAATTGTGTTTCTGACTAAGCCCATTGCCAGCAGAAACCTTGCCATAAAAAATTACTGAATCGCTTGCTCAGAAGCATTTTTTTCTTTTTAACCGTGGCTACAACCCTCAAGGAGAGCATAGGAACAATGCTAACAAAAAGGGCATGTAAAAAGTATTTTTTTACTAAATATGTGTTCTCTTATATTTGCAAGTAAAAAAAGTATACACGTAGTTGCTGTTCACTCAGAGCATTAGTGTTGGTGTCCAGAATTCTGCATCTTAGTAAATTACATATGCATATGACGTAGAATTAATATTTGTCTATACGTTCCTAGTGAGGCTTCATGAATTTATATTCCTTTCATACAAACCATACACTTCTTATGAAAAATGCATGTTTTTTGTTGATGCTGAAGAAGCCTCTTCTCTTCTAGTTTGAGCTTGTTGTCCTTTGGCCCTAGATCCCCATTACACTCATTCCATAGCTAGAATGATAGTATCTGTCAGGGAGGTGATAAATACTAGGCCTATGCAGACTACGGATAACAGTGGTGAATTACCTCAGGCAGTTTTATGATTGGTGCTAAGGGCTTCTTTGCAACATTTAAAATTCACATGGGGGAAATTATGCATTTTTATTAGATGTGTTTTTCTCAGTGCTTTTAGGTAACAATTTGATAAAATCAAAATGTGAATTGTTACAACTGTACTTTTCAAATAATCTTAAATACCTGAATTTAAAAACACATGTAGCTACATAGATCATATTTTAAATGTATAGCTATGTAGATATATTTTAATCCTGAAGAGGCATCTGATATATCTTGTTTGACCAATCTAGCATCAATCATTATTTTTCTATGAGATGTTCCAAAGCCAGCAGACTATTTTTATTCTTAAAGTCAATGTAAATGTGTATGATAATTTTGGAAACTCCTTTTTATTGATGTAAAGACATACTGTAACATATTTTTTTATATATATATTTATCTATGATACCTGATGGATAAAACTAGAAGACGAGTCCTGTAGTGTTAGGCAGGGGGTACTCGCTGCAGACCATATGAGCCTGATCCACTAGCAGACTCTCTGCTGACTTCCAAGAGCAAGGCTTGCAGTGCTATGTTATCTTAACTACATAAAAGTACAAACCAGAACGTAATGGTGTACAAATGGCTTCAAGCTACCCCTGTGTGCCGCCAGCACTGAGCTGCTTTGAGGCTAGAACAGCTTATACATCCCTAGTTTGTAAAATTCTACTGGCCACAGGATAGCCTGCAATTTCTAAAGCAATACGTGCTGCGGCCGTGCCCCAGAAGTGTCTTTCCAGCTTCTAATACCTAGCCCAGAACATTTATGCAATAGTTTGCAAGGAACTCCTTGGACAGCATCTTCATAGGTATGTTTCACAATAACAGCACCACTTGGATTTGTTTTTACAAGTGTGTGTCTAGAAACTGTTTATATTTCTCTTTAGTCTTTTTGCACAGTGTAAAGGTTAAGGTGTTGTGTATCTGTTCGTGTATAAAGTATTCTAACTTTCAGTATTGATTTTTCAAGCTTAACACTCACTCAGGAAATGCTAGAGATACTTAATTTTGTTCAGTTTCAAAAGAACTTCAAAGGAAATTTCACTTCCAACTAAAAATACTTAATCATGTGGAAAAAAAGATGCTGAGCTGAATACCGAGTGTGCTGGTAGAGATGCGTGGACTTGCAGATGTGCAAATCAAAGGAAGAAGATTAGAGAAGCGTGTCCACTGTAATTCTTGCATCACTGCTTTTCATTTATGAAAATACCTTTTACCAGTCAGTCCATACTCTGACAAAGCTATGCTTTAAGCTTACAGCTATAAGAAAAGTGTGGAAGTAAGTCCCCTTACCCTGTGTTCTTTTAACAGTTCTCAATGTTTATTTTCACAGTGCATTGATAATATAAGGTGCAATGGTTTAATGACCATAGTGTTTGAAGAAAACTCAAAAGTCACAGTGCCACATATGATCAAGTAAGTGCAGCATTTTTTTTTCTCAATGAACAAAATAGCTTGTTGATTTTTTTAAGAAAAGTTTTAACAAAAGAAAATGTGTATTTGGAAAAGACAACTTTTTAATTTATTTTTTTCCCCATTTTTGTTGAATGGAATTAATTCTACATCCCAAAACATATCTTTTCAGATCTTTTTCTTAAAAGGGTAGGGATGACTCAAAATGGTAAACTCTCAATTCACAGTATTGGACTATATAGGATCACAGCTCAGGTTTTTCTATTATTTGTGAAACTGCCTTCACTTGTGCTTCGGATGAATAATTTTATTCTCTGTTAGCTTTTCTCTGTCATACCACTCATAATTTTACAGAATATATTTTAAAATGTCTTAAAAATTTAGGTGAGTGCAGACAAGTATCATTTTCTAAGGTATTTTGTTATATTAGCCAAAATTTTTCTTCTCTTTGTTTCTCTTATTTCTGAGAAAAAATTATTTTCTCTCATAATTTTAACTGATCACATCAAGGTAGCATCATTATTCATAAACCTGCTTCCTTCACCCTTGGATTCTTTCAGTCATTTATTGTAATAAGTAATTTTTATTTGTAGACAGCAATTTTCAGTACATGATTCCAAATTTCTAACACAATTTTACCTCTTGGATCCTCTGCATATCTGTATTTACATGAGTTTAACCTACTATTATCCAATATAAATATTGAAGAATAGAACATAGGGATAGAAATATAAGTATTTCCTTTCTTACTGTTATCTGTCACTAGGCCATTTCTCTCTTGGATGTACTCTGTACATGAAGGTTTCTCAAATGCCTCTTTTGTGGTTGTTGCCTCTCCTCTCTTTGTATATTTTTAGAAATGAAAAAGAGATAACATCTGTGAATACACTGTTAGGGCACATACCTTTGATCCCTGAAAAGCAGGCATTTTATTGTCTTCAGTTTTATTCCAGGAACTCTCCAGCATGTAAATCCTTCTGTTACCTGCTGAATGTTTACAATATGTTCATCTCTTTGCAAATTGTAGAGTACAGCAGGGTCTTAATCTCAATGTCAAGAGAAAGAAATCTTAATTCTAAAAAACATACAGGATCTTAACAAGTGACACAAATTTGGTGTCCTCTTTCTGAGATTTTATTCATCTGATTTGTAGCACACACTGACCTTTAGAGTCAGATGTCTTTGGATGAAATAAAAAAAAAATTGCCACTTTTCTGAGGACCCAGCTTAAGAAAGAATTTTTTTCTTGTTTTTTTTATGTAATGCAGTGTAGAAGTGTGTGGAGTATCTTGATGCTGTATTCTAAGAAAATCCAATCATTTTCGCTGAAAAGGTCAGGCAGTATTGAAAGATGCTTTACATAGTATCCTATCCCATTTTTTTAGGGACTAAGCCTTCAACTAGATAAAATTAAGCAAAACTGAATTTGGAAAAAACCATCATGAGTAGGGTTATGTAAGTGATTAATTTTTGTTTTGAAGTGCAAACAAATGTTAGTCCCAATTTTTTTACTGCAACAAAGCCCCTCAATGGTTTCTGCTTTGAAATTTGAGATGTTTCATGCTGTTCCCATTTGCTTTTTAAAAAAAAAAATAAAAATCTTGGAGCCTGAGGGCTTACAAGTGAGCTTTAAGCTTAGCTAAGGGGTTAATTTTGCTGTCTCTTGCTCGAGTCCATTAGTTCATGTTGTATAAAGCAAGAAAAAATTGCAATTGGTTCACAATTATTCTCTGGTGAGCTTCTTGTACTATAGCTCTACAGGCCACAACAGCCTGAAAGAGACAAGAGGGGACAACTTTGCCTCCTGTTTCATTTCAGAAATTTAGGCTTCATTAATGATTTCTTAGATTTTGAAATGTGAATTAATTATTTTCCAAAAATAGAACTTAAATGGGCTTAGTTATCACATAAAATATAACTGAATGGAAGCAGGTTTCACCACAAATTAAGAGTTTTCTTGTGTTGATGAAATAGAAGAATGCATGTATATTTGTTGATTCTATGTTGACAGGAACAGCTAAAGTGATATTACTGCTGTACCATAATCACTCTTCCTCTTTGGTGAAATGTTTTAAATTTAATTTTTGTGTAGATCCGATGCTCGTCTTCATAGAGATGACATCGATATCTGCTTCAGCAAAACACTGAATTCCTGCAAAGTACCCCAAATCCGTTATGCAAGCGTCGAGCGCCTTCTGGAGCGGCTTACAGACTTGCGATTTCTAAGTATTGATTTCCTGAATACATTCCTACATACTTACCGCATATTTACTACTGCAGCTGTTGTACTGGAAAAACTTTCAGACATATACAGACGGCCCTTCACTTCCATTCCCGTCAGGTGAGCTCTAGGGTTTTTTCCTTCTATCATGCATTTCTTTACAGAAATACCATGGCGTCATTTGTTTGCTTGTTTTTTACCATGTTTGTTTGTTTTATGAGTAATTTAAAAAGAAAGTTCTTCCTTTGTAAATAGGATGTAAGTTTTTAGATAAGTCTGTCTCAACTTTCTGCCCAGCCTTTGAGGACTAAGTGTCATAGATTTTGCAGTGCCATGCTGATTTGCATGAAATTTGTCTGTAAGTGTTTCCACTTAGATCTGTTTGGCGTTTGTTATTATCAGTTGATTTTTTTTCTTTATTTCTCTCAGGTCCTTGGAGTTATTCTTTGCCACCAGTCAAAACAACAGAGGAGAGTACCTGGCTGATGGGAAGTCACCACATCTCTGTCGCAAGTTTTCTTCTCCTCCTCCGTTGTCACTTTCCAGAACCTCCTCACCTGTCAGAACCCGAAAACTCTCGTTGACCTCACCACTGAATTCAAGGATCGGTGCCCTTGACCTCTCTACTTCATCTGCAGCAAGCAGTCCTACCTCGACCTACAGCCCGGCCACCTCCCCGCCACCAACGGGTAGCAAAGTACCGCTGGACCTTAGCAAAGGGCCCTCCTCTCCTGAGCAAAGCCCTGGCTCCATAGAGGACAATCTGGAGAACCCTCGCGTTGACCTCTGTAACAAGCTGAGGAGAAGCATTCGAAGAGGTATTATATACCCACAAAATACTGAATGTTACTTTTGATAAATAAGGAAGTAACTGAATGTTACTTTTGATAAAGTCTCTAAGGAAGGCCTGACTTTTATCAGATTACTGCTGAGAAGTTGTTTCTCATGTCTTTTTTTTTTTCTCCTGATCACCCTAAGTTGTGTTATGAAATCAAATACTCTGCTCTCTGTCTCTTCTCTAGTAGAGGCTGCAATGTATTGTCTGTTTCCACCGCTTTGTTGCTTCTTTGTAGGAATAGCAGTATGGCAGAATGGCCTTGTCTGTTTTCACTTCAGCAGAGTGTTAAGGAGAAAGGCAGAAGGAAATATTTGATGCCAGTTGTGTTTCCTGAGGTGAAAGATTTTTGAGTTGTACCGTTACTACAGGAAATAAATTATTCAGTTAAAAAGAAATAGGGATGTGAAGCCCTAACAGCTTTAACACGTTTACATGACAGGGCTAGTTTTCGAGAAAGATTTCATCACTAATCCAAACAAATAATTTATGTGATGCACTTGGTACATTGGTGAGATTCATACCACCTGGTTGTTATCCATCCAGAAGGTAGATGTCTAAAATAGATTAATTGCTCCTATGCAAATGCCTGTTTTCCTCTGTGGATTGTGTAAGGCACCTTGGAATAGGTACTACTTCCAGAGGGCTAAAGTTAGTTGATAGAAACCTCAATGTGGGCATCTAGAATGGGATCATTGTATTTACAGATGGCAAAGCAAGAAAGTAGCTCTAATCTCATAGGATGCATAAGTGTGTGCTTACTTCTCATTGCTCTTTAGGGATGAAGGGATTGTCTTCTGAATTAGAATAGAAGTATATAGTAATTTTTTGTATTGTTGTTACTTAAACAGAAGATGAGGAAGTAAAAAAATGCTCTTTTTTTCCTAAACTTCATGTTTAGAAATGGTCTTACATGGCCTGACTTACAGTCTGAGGAATTTCAACTGTAAATCTGAGCAGAACGTACCTCAATTTTACTTGCAAGTACTGTAACAATGAAAATTGGTATAACACAAGAAAAAAAAGATTACTAAACATAAATTAAGAAAAATATGATTGAAGCGTTATGTTTACTCCTTACTGATGAATTGAAATAAGTGCCCTGGTAAGAAATTTGATGTTGTATTATGCAGAGGGGTTGTTTTTACAGAATGTATTCTATTGTTTAACAAAAAATCTTTTTAAAAGGCAAGTTAGCCACCTTAGCATTACAGGAGTCTATGCTTGCCCATGCTTTATGCTTTCATAAAATGCTAGTTGGCTGTTACACGTAATCATTATATTTCTGTATGCTGGATGTTTTTAAATTAATAGCATAACAGACTACTTATATGTATAAAATATAATATTTACTATGTAGAGTTGGGCAAATTCTTCTTGTGCATTAGTGTAACCACATTCAAATCAATGTGATAACACAGCATGTCCCAAGATATAGGCCATGCATTGAAATGAATTGTACACGGGTAACTGCAGTCTTAGGTGTAACATTTTTTGCTGTACGCTGTAAACTAGTGAAGAACAGGTTATTCTGGCCTAGTGTTGGCACTAGGCATTGTTGCAGAAGTATTCAGATTTTGCATTCCAGTCTATCAAAGCTGGAAGTGTCATCTGGGCAGCGTGAGGAACATTTGGAAATGGCAAGAACCTCATATAAATGCTAAATTGCTGTCTGTGCAGTGTCTCCAGTCCCTTTGGGGATC